TGAGCTTTTGAGCCGAATCTTAGAACTTTTTCTTCTGAATTCGTTTTTACTGCATGAGAGTAGCGTCATGAACTACAATCTGATCCAGATGCTTGGTGACACGAAAGTGTTCATCAGGTATCATATCTAGTTTGGGAGAGCAAAACAAACATAGGAGTGGAAACCTACCTATGGGCGATTTGTGAATTAGGACGAGTCTTAAACATAATGCATCTCTTCTCTTCCAGGGCCAGAGTGGAAACCTACTGGTCAGGGTTGAGAGAGATAGTTGTCTATGATCACGACAGTGGCGTATTCATACGTCTGTGACTCCAGTTCAAAAAGTTTAAGCTAAGATCTTATCAATTTTACTCTCTAGCAATGTTTTGAATCGTTCGTACCCCTGAGACAACTTCCCTGAAGCCCAACGCTTTCTTCTCCATTGATTTACACTGATTTTCTTTAAAGCTTTAGTTTAATATTGCCTTTCCTTTTTAGTTCATTTTCATTTAAGCATTAGAATATCCGTTTTTATTATTTTTAGTTATTTTCGTTAAGTTTAGTTATTACGCCATTAAATTCCCGTATTCTCTTTTAATATTTCGTTTTTACATTTTAAACACACTACCAAACCCCCACTAAACCGTTTTTGTTCTAGACTTCCTTACTTTAACTTATTTCAAAGGCTTTTTGCAGGAAAAGATCCTCCTTCCCTGTGGATTCGATCCCTAAGTACTACAATCGATCAGCTGTGCACTTGCGGCTATTGATTTCAATTAGGGTAAAACTTGACACCCACAACACACACCACATCAAGTTTTTGGCGCCGTTGCCGGGGAAGGCACGCGTTTTCTTTTCTGCAAAACCCCGAGAAAGGTTAGTAAATCGACTCTAGAACCCCCTTTTCTGCAACTTTCCATTTTTCGGTTATTTTGTTTCCATTTCAGAAGATATGGATCCTATGAAACGAAATTACTACTATGAGGGAGGTTTTTACAGCACTCCTCGAGCCACTCAACGCCGAGAAGCACAATGCATTCGTGATCCCTCCTCAATGGATCAGAATTCAATTCCGAACCATCACAAAAGAGGACATCGCAGGCACTACAAATCAATTCGCGAAGGTTTAGAGGAAAAAGGATTCTGCTGGGAGACCCTAACAACTTACAATGCCCACAGAGATTTTTATGATCCTCTATTTGATGAAGATATGTCGTCTGTCTCCCAAACCGATGTTGGGGTCGGTTTTCACCCCACGTAGATAAGACCATCTCAAAATGACTAAGTATGGAAGAAAGACAAGCGGGAGAGCCGTTCTCACCAAGTGGGAGAGCCGTTCTCACCAAGACAAGTGGGAGAGCCGTTCTCACCAAGTGGGAGAGCCGTGAAGATAGACCAGTAGGGAGAGCCGTGAGGAAAAGAGAGATGGGCCGAGCCGTATCACAAGAAATGGGCCGAGCCCCTCTCCAACACGCCTGGGCCGAGCCGCGTTTCGGTGAGGTGGACCAGCTCACGTCTCCACTCAAATGGCAAATGTCCCGAGCCGTGGAGAAGCTTAGATGGGCCGAGCCGTGGAGAAGCTTAGATGGGCCGAGCCGCGGCAAACGTAATAGAGAGCCACCTGTTGATACGGGATGAGTTGAAAGCACTGATGAGGAAATGCTTCGTCCCTAGTTACCTTCATAGGGAAATATTCCGAAAATCTCTCCCGAGATTCTCGGCTAGGCGGTTCAGAGAGTTAGTATAAATAGACGATGTATACAATTCATTCTGTAACTTTTTGCAACCCCGAGAAATAAGACCTACACACTTTCATAGCAATAAAAACCTTCTCTCGATCTTACTGTTCTTGCGATAAACCCTAGAAGTTTCCGGTCCCTTAAGTTTTTCCTTAACAAATTTTTGGTTGTGCGAGTTTTGGCTCACACAATTTGGCGCTGTCTGTGGGGACTCGAAACTTTCTTACTCTAAATCGACGAGACTTTAAGATCCGAAGAACATGGCGAGCAACACCCCCGATGATAACAACAACAACACCGGTAACGGCGCGGAGAAGGACGCTCCGGCATCGGGCACGACGACGGCAACGATCGAAACCCAGGAGGAGATGCGAAACATGATGGTTGCGTTGATGAAAAAAATCGACGAACAGGATAAAAGAAACGAGGCGATTACAGAGAGGCTCGACGCGATGGCGGCTGAGCGACTGCACCCAACTTGGAGAGCCGAAATTCCCGACCCGATGGATGGAATCTGGAGACGCTTCGATTTCTCGACACCTGTAGAAGCCTCAGGGAGCGGCGCGAGAAACCCCTCGGCTCCTCCAATGTCTCGTCTCCTCGACGAACAGACCCCCGCGGCGACCCGAGTCAACATAACCGAGCCGCCCCCTCTCCGCTGAAACTCGAGGCGACGAGCTGGCGAAGAAAGAAACGATGCGATTGACATAGACGCCCAGCAGAACGACGGAACCACGAATCTGCAACAAACCGGCTCGGCTCACCGAATAAGTCAAGAAGAGCTCGCCTCGGCACTAAACGGCATCCGAACTGACGAAGTCTCCGATCCGACCCGCGGCGACAATCCAACCGAGGAGGAAGAAAACCTCCAATGGATCGAGCAGGCAGAGCGCGAGGACGAGCCGAGGAGCGGGAGCGACCTCCCCAATCAAAGGGAATGACTCACGCACAAACTCTTGAACTCAAAGAGCTGCGAGCCTCGATGGCTCGGACGGTAGCTGAAATACGCGCCACGAAATCGACCGAATGCTTGAAGAAACTCAGAGAACCCCATTCACTGCAAGATTCACGGAGGCCAAGATCCCCGAGCCGGGGAAGGTGAGAATCCCGTTCTACGAAGGAACAACCGACCCGAAGGCACACATCACAGCGTTTCGGATTGTCGCCGAGCCTTCACAAAGAACGCCGCTAAACTCACCGAGCGCGAAATAGATGCCGGATACTGCCTGCTATTCGTGGAGCATCTCAAGGGAGCCGCACTCGAGTGGTTTTCGAGGCAGGAACGAAATTCAATCGGCAATTTTCAACAGCTCTCCGCTTTGTTCCTTAAACAATACTCGATGTTTATGGATAGAGGAACATCTGATGCCGACCTGTGGACATTATCCCAAGGACCGAACGAACCGCTTCGGGATTACATGGCAAGATTCAAGGCAGTCGTATCCAAAATAGAAGGGATAAGCGACAAGGCTGCGCTCGAGGCTCTGAAGCGATCTTTGTGGTACAAATCCGAGTTTCGACGGGAGATGGCTCTCAACACGCGCAAACAATCCAAGACGCTTTGCACCGATCATCAGACTTCGTCGTAAACAAGGAGGAAATGAAAAACTTGGACGAGCAGTACGAAGCAACGAAAGCAGCAATCCGAAGCTCAATTTTGCCGCGCCCCGCGAAGAAGGGCAACCCATCGAGCAACACAACAACGCAGAGCTCGGATGAACCTAGAAGCGAAGGCGCCCATAATTATCAGGTAGGCACCGAACGCGGAAGAGGAGAGCCGCGCAACAACACTTGGGTGAGAAAGTCCGCCAACTACGACAAGAAGGCTTTCTGCGAGTATCACCAGACCTACGGGTATTCGACGGCTCAATGCCGAACTTTAGGAGAAAAGCTCGCAGCAAAGATGGCAGCGGGAGAGCTCCAAAACGCGGTCAGCTTCAAAGACCTCGTCCCTAACGAACAACAAGAGAGAGCCGAGCCGAGCGGTGCGGCGGAACCCGCGAATCCTCCCCGACGAGGCGATAACCCCAAGCGTGACAGGAGAGGCGAACCTGAAGAGCGACCCGAGCCGAGGCAAAGGATCATTATGATCATGGGTGGATCCCAATACTACCAAGATACCGTATCCTCCATCAAAGCCAATCAGCGTCGAGCCGAAGCGAAGGAGAATTGGACAGAACCAACCGACATACCAAACACAATGATCTCCTTCGCCGAGGAGGAAACGTCAGGAATCGATCGACCTCATAACGATCCGTTGGTGATTGAGTTAACGATCAGTGATTATGACGTAGCAAGGGTGCTCATCGATACTGGAAGCTCGGTGAACGTCATCTTCAGGGAAACACTCAGAAGAATGGGAATCGACCTCTCCGAGGTTGAAGCAATCCCCAAACCTCTAACCGGATTTTCAGGAGAAACGACGATGACTATGGGAACGATCAGGCTTCCTGTGGTAGCTGGCGGAGTCACTAAAATCGTCGAATTCTGCGTCACCGATCACCCAGCAATATACAATGTGATTATGGGAACTCCGTGGATCAATGGGATGAGGGCGGTACCCTCTACCTATCATCTCTGCCTCAAATTCCCAACCCCGGCAGGTGTTAAAACGATATGGGGGAGTCAGAAGGAGTCACGAATGTGCTGCCTAGCCGAGCATAAGCTAAGGAACCCCGTCACCGACGCTCGAGCAGACATCGACCACAAAAAGATGAAGACAGACCGAGAGCCCGCAAACCAGCTCTCGAAATTCTTATAGCAATTACAGATCGCGGAGAGCCGCGAAACACGCGCCGAGCCAGCATGCGATGCAGTGGACTCGGTATGTATAGATGAGGCGCGCCCAGAGCGATGCGTCGAAATAGGAACAAAACTGGAAGAGCCTCTGAGAAGCGAACTCCTTTCCCTCCTCAAGGAAAACATCAACACTTTCGCCTGGACAGCAGAAGATATGCCAGGCATAAGCATCGACGTGACCTGTCATGAGCTGAATGTGGATCCGACCTTTAAACCAGTAAAGCAGAAAAGAAGGAAGCTCGGCCCCGAACGAGCTAAAGAAGTTAACGACAAAGTCGAAAGGTTACTCAAAGTAGGATCAATCGCCGATGCCAAATATCCGGACTGGCTCACAAATCCGGTGGTCGTGAAGAAGAAGAACGGCAAGTGGCGAGTATGTGTGGATTTTACCGACCTCAACAAGGCGTGCCCAAAAGACACTTTCCCTTGCCACACATAGACCGGCTCGTCGAAGCCACTGCAGGGAATAGACTGTTAACATTGATGGACGCGTTCTCCGGCTACAATCAGATCCTAATGCATCCTGATGATCGAGAAAAAATGGCATTCATAACTGATCGCGGGATATACTGCTACAAAGTCATGCCGTTCGGGTTCAAGAACGCAGGAACAACGTATCAACGGCTCGTCAATAAAATGTTCGCGGCTCAGCTTGGAAAAACTATGGAAGTATACATCGACGACATGTTAGTCAAATCACTCAACGAGGAAGACCAAGTCGCGCATCTACGAGAATGCTTCGAACAATTGAACAAGCACAACATGAAACTAAACCCGGCAAAGTGCAGGTTCGCGGTCACCTCGGGAGAATTCCTCGGCTATCTGGTAACTCACCGAGGTAGAAGCAAATCCCAAGCAGATCAAAGCTTTAATTGAGATGCCCTCTCCAAGGACAAAGCACGAAGTGCAGAGGCTCACAGGAAGAGTCGCCGCGCTAAACAGGAATTGAAGAATTATCTGGCGAGCCCACCAATCTTAGCAAAACCAGTCGAAGGAGAGCCGCTCTTCCTCTACATCGCAGTGTCTGCTACAGCTGTAAGCGGAGTCCTTATCAGAGAAGAACGATCCGAGCAAAAGCCCATTTTCTACATCAGCCAGATATTGACCGACGCCGAGACTCGCTACCCCCAGATCGAGAAGGTCGCCCTAGCCGTCGTAGTCTCGGCTCGGAAACTGCTCCCGTACTTTCAATCACATTCAATTTTTGTGCTCGCTACGCTTCCACTGCGCTCGATCCTACACAGCCCTAGCCAATCCGGTCGGCTCGCCAAGTGGGCCATAGAGCTAAGCGAATACGACATCGAGTATTGGAACAGGTCGTCTGCAAAGTCACAGGTGCTCGCAGATTTCCTCATTGAACTTCCCGTCGAAGCAACAAACGAGCCGACTCTAGACGAAGTGTGGACGCTGCACGTCGACAGCTCGTCATCTAAACACGGCTCGGGAATAGGAATCCGCCTCACCTCTCCCACCGGAGAAATATTGGAGCAGTCTTTTCGCCTGAACTTCCACGCCTCGAACAACGAAGCGGAATACGAAGCACTGATCGCCGGCATACGACTAGCACAGAGAATTGGAGTTCGAAAGATAAGAACCTTTTGCGATTCACAGCTTGTAGCATGTCAGTTCAACGGAGAATACGAGGCGAAGGATGGACGAATGGGAGTTTACCTCAAAGTGGTCCGAGAGTTGGTGCGAAAATTCGATGAGTTCGAACTCACTCGCTTTCCCCGAGGAGAAAACACCTCGGCCGACGCATTGGCAGCACTCGCTTCGACCTCGGACCCAGACCTCCGACGAACGATCCCAGTCGAATTCATCGAACGTCCTAGCATCGAAGAGGTGGAAGGAGTTCGGCTGATAAATCCTCCTGAACAAGAACCAGAGGACGACGAAGCCGCTCCTATGGATGAAGACGCCTCACCGGCCGAGCCGGAGTACGGCTGCGACAAAGAATGGTTCGGAGCTATCCGAGTGTATATCGCCGATGGAGAGGTGCCAACCGACAAATGGGAAGCCCGCAAACTAAAAGCTCAGACCGCGCGGTATGTCCTCGTCGATGGCGGGGTGTTTAAGTGGAGATTTTCAAGACCTCTCATGACATGCGTCGAAGGACCGGAGGCAAGAAAGATCATGCACGAGGTGCACAGCGGCGCGTGCGGGAACCATTCCAGCGGAAGGTCGCTCGCTATCAAGATTAAACGGCACGGCTACTTCTGACCCACGATGGTCAAGGACTGCGAGAAATTTACAGCAAAGTGCGAGAAGTGTGAGCGGCACGCTCCAACAATTCATTAACCCACCGAGTTGCTCTCGTCAATTTCATCACCTTATCTGTTCATGAGATGGTCGATGGACATCGTCGGACCTCTACATCGCTCGAAGCAGAAGTGTTTCCTGCTCCTCCTCACGGATTACTTTTCCAAATGGGTCGAAACCGATTCCTATGCAAGCATAAAAGATGTTCAAGTCGAACACTTCGTCTGGAAAAATATCATCTGCCGACACGGGGTCCCCTACGAGATAGTCACCGACAACGGATCCCAGATTATCTCAACACGCTTCGAAGCCTTCTGCGAGAAGTGGAAAATCCGCCTCAGCAAATCTACGCCAAGATACCCTCAAGGGAACGGACAAGCCGAAGCAGCCAACAAGACGATCCTCGACGGTCTGAAAAAAAAGCTCGACGCCAAGAAGGGACGGTGGGCAGACGAACTCGAAGGAGTCATTTGGTCTCATCGAACAACTCCGCGCCGAGCCACCGGGGAACCTCCATTCGCTTTAGTCTACGGATCGGAGTGCGTAATTCCCCCCGAGGTGGATTTCCCAGGTATTCGACGAAGACTTCTACCAGCACAGGAGGGTTTGAACCACTTAATGATGCTAGATGAGCTCGACCTAATCAACGAAAAGCGCGACCAAGCCTTAATTCGAATACAGAACTATCAACAAGCAACGACGCGATACTACAACAAAAACGTTCATAGCCGAAGATTCAAAGCAGGGGAGCTCGTCCTCCGAAAGGTCTTCCAAAATACTGCCGAGAAGAACGCAGGAAAGCTGAGAGAAAATTGGGAAGGTCCTTACAAGGTCACAAAAATGGTTCGTCCAGGAGTCTACGAACTCGCGACACTAGCTGACGTGACGATTCCAAGATCATGGAACACAATGCATCTGAAGGAATACTATCATTAAGGATACAGCACGACCAACATGAACTACGGGACGGCTTGATCTCTGCAAAGGGTACGTAGGCAGCCCGTCCTCGGACGGGTTCAATTGTCCCCCCTCCTAAAAAGGGGGGGGGGGAGTGGGTACGTATACATACCTCTTTTAACTCTACAATTTTAGCTTGTGATAAACTTAGGAACATGGCCACTTTGGCACATTCTCAGTTCGTTTTGAATCATATACTTATTTCACGTTTGTTCATTATCGCTTCGGCTAGTTTCTCATTCTTTCTAAATCAGCAACTAATTGTAACAAGTTCGGATTTTTTAAATTCTTTCACCCATCACTTCGGCGAGTAATCATGACCTGGTTACCTCGGACCTTAATCGGTCCTCAGTCAGTTCGGCAAACTAAGCCACCGAACGCCTCGTCTCGTTGCTGTCCACAACGGGGCAACAAATACAAAGTTCTCTAAACGGACTTTTACCACCTTTCCTAGGACGAGGGTGCAAGTTACATCCTATACGGATAAAAATTAAGCGCGCTATACAAATATTAGACCAAAAACGTATCAGGTCGCCACGGTTTACTATCGCACACGAGAATATAAGCCGAGACTACATCGCTTTCTCTAAAACCGAAGTAAACTCCTAAAACCCGGACAAGCATAGTCATCCTCTCGGAAACGCCGGTCCATAGTCAGATTCAATGAGAATACCAAATCGTCTTTGGCTAACAAAAACGAAACGCCTCGTCGTCCTTATGGCTCGGCACCACACAAAGCTAAAACGCCTCGTCGTCCTTATGGCTCGGCACCACACAAAGCTAAAATGCCTCGTCGTCCTTACGGCTCGGCACCATACAAAGCCAAAACGCCTCGTCGTTTACACGGCTCGGCACCATGCAAAGCTAAAACGCCTCGTCGTTTACACGGCTCGGCACTATGCACAGCAAAAACGCCTCGTCGTTAAATACGGCTCGGCATTGCCAGCAAAAATTTGCCTCGACTTGATCACTTAAAAACTTTCCAGCACCACCTAAGAGATGTTCCACAAAACTAACTCCCAGCTCGGGATTAAGAATCCAAACGAGATCTTTAAATGACTCGACCCTTAGCCTGTATTTCTATCGACTTCGAAGAAATCGGCCAAAGAAGCAATCAAAATCATTTTCGACGCAGCAGTTTTCATCCTCGACAATTTTCTCTAAGCCAACGGTTCTCACAGAATTTTGCACAGATCGTTGAAAATAAAGTGCATCAAATCCTAAAACGGCTAAGGAAAAAAGAATATATCCATAAGCAAAAATAAATGGCGGGTGGATAAAGCCGTCCAGGCATCGGTTACACAAAAGAATTCAGAAAACAGATAAAAATCCTAAGTACAGAAGCATGAAAGACAAAACAGGGGAAAGCAGAGAGTATCACGCCGCGGACTGCATTTCACGCTCGGCGAGGAGGTTTGAGAGGACCGGCGTGCCCGCGTTCGATCCATTCGGATCTACGATGCCTAAGTTGGCCGCTGTTTCCTCGAGCGGCTCGTTGCCAAGGGTGGTGTCGACTGAGTCCGGCGATACGGGAGAGTAATACAGCTCGCCTTGAATCTCGGAAGCAATACGCTCGTACGCCTTGTCGTCGGCATACTCACTCTCCCAGCTTTTCAGCTTCGCCTCCGCGTCGCCAAGCATCGGGGCATCCGGCTTCTTCAGGTCGGCAATCATCGCAAGATTGCCCTTGATCTGCCCCAGATCGTTCTCGTCATTTTTGGCCTTCTCAAGCCTGACCAAACCCTCCTCCACCTTGGCAAGGCGTTCCTGAAACTTCGCCGTAAGCTCTCGCCTCGCCTCCTTTTTCGCCCTCTTGACCTTGGCATCGAACAAGGCGTCCTTGGCCTCGATACGCCTCTTCAGCATCGCCACCTCGGTGCTTTTAGCCCTCCTCGCCTCCTCGAGGCGAATGACCGAGGTGGAGACCTTGTCAACGTTGGCGCGCAGAATGATCTTCTCCTCTTCCAGCTTGGAAGCCCTGGCCACCGCCTCGTCCAGTTTCCCCTTTGCCGCCGCGGCTTCGGTCTGAGACTCTTCTAGCTTTGCCTCTGACGCTGCGGACTCATTTCAGGCCTTGGCCAAGCGACGTTCGACCCTAGACAGGTCCGCCTCGTATTCGGCCATCAGGTCATTAATGGCTGCGACAAACTGCAAAGAACAAAATCGCGTTAAAACACTTAGAAAAAATTTACGAAAATAAAGGAAAGCAAATAGAACGTACCTTGGTACCGCGCTGCGCCATCGCGCCATATGACCTCGGCCTCCTCAACTTTTCCGGAGGAGGAAGACGCGTGTTCGCGTTATTTACACACAAGAACATGATGGCGGAGGCGTCGGAGTCGTCGACGACCAACTTGCGCGCGGCGGGGTCCCCGGGCGTCGGTTTCCGCCTCTTCTTGGACGGCTCGTCCTTCTGAACAGCAACGCCCTTCCCCTTGTCAGCGGCCGAACGTTTCCGGATCGGGTCGTGTTTCTGAACGACCGAAGTCGGGGGCCTTGTCGACTTCGGGAGGGCTAAAATGGCGGAGTTTGAAGGAGTTTTGCTCCGCACCGCCGAATCATCCCCGGACGCTTCGGGAACAATTTCGCCCGGTTCCACCTCGGGCGCTGCATTTCTTAACCACCTCGGCTGTGTTGCCTTCTATGGCTCGGGTCATTTCGTCTCCTTCCCGGCTCGGGGGGTCGGGCTGAGGGATGGCCTCGGTTTACGCTGGAACCGCCTCGGTCTGAGCCTAAGCCGCCTCGGCAGCTCGTCTTGCGGCCACTTCTACCTCGCGCCTCTTCCTTTCTCTAAGAGCGATTATCACCATCTTGTCTCGGGTATCCTTTGAAGAACATGACGACGAAGAGCTGACGGGGACTCCGGCAAGGATGGCTCGCGCTTTTTCTACTCTTTCGAGGGTGAAGTTCTTTCTCCAATTAACCTTCCGCGCCGAAAGAGAGTCTCGAACAGTAAAGAGGTCGTCGGGAATCGGGGGAAGAAAGCACCGAACTGCAAAACAAAGCAGAAAAGGAAAAAATTTCAGAAAAGGAAGAGGATACCAAAAATAGTTCCGAGCCAAGGCAAAGCTTCAGGTCAACTACCAAGTGGTCCCCAAGCGGTCTTGGTTCTTTGAACACAATTCTCGCCGACCGACGCCTCGTTCACCAAGACGTAGAAGAAGCGTTCAGTCCAAAACTGATCCTTGCTGGGAAAACCGCCGATGATCCGTCGCTTCGCCTTGTTGGAAATATAGAATCTATTTCCCTTCGGAGCTTTCCTGACTTCCAGCAAGTTCAGCAGGTGATTCAGCTCGATATCAACTCCGCACTCGAAGCTTCGAACTAAGATGCCAATCATATGCCGTAATCCCCTTTGCATGATTTGCCCAATCGAGATCCCGTGTTTCCAGAGATATTCGAGGATCACTCCGGGGATCGGGAACCAGAGGAAGCAAAGCTCGAAGAACGCCTCGTACAGAGTGAAATGATTCTCTGGAGGGTTGTCGGCACGGTCACTCTTCTCTGGAACGACGAACTCCACCGCCTCGGATATCCCGAAGCGATGCCTCAACGCCTCGAGCGACTCAAGGGAGCAGAGCGTAGAGCCAGGCGGGTCAGGTTTTTGTCTCTTAACTCTTGGCCCTCGGCCAGATGTGGAAGCACCTCGGGACGCCATGAGACGTTCCAATTCAAGCTTCGCCTCGAAAAGGTCAAAGGGAAATGCCTCCTCCTCGGCCTTGAGTGCGGCGCGGTTAATGTCCTCATCAGGAATGGGATCCTGGGGACGGCTCGTCGAAACCGACGGCTCGCCATCCGGAGAGCCGACATCTGATGGGTTTGCATGGTTTGACGCTTCGTCAGATGAACGATTGGAGGGGCTCGGCGAAACAGATGCCTCAGAGGATTCTGCCGTACCTCTCGCCTCGGCATCTACGCGGCTCGGCTCGTAATGAAAAAGTGAATCCAACGGATCGTCGGAGCAGCTCGACATAATTTACGACTTGTACAAGAGTTACAGCACGACTCGGCGAGCCTCTACCGGAAAAAGATCTGGAACGGCGGAGACCTCGGAAACCCTAGCCGGAAAATAAATAAACTAGAGAGAGAAAGAAGAGAGAAGGGAGGGCTACCTTTAGTAAAAACGAGTGAGTCTGAAGATAATGAGGAAGAATGAAGGAGCTCACCCATTTATAGGAAAACCAAAGCGCATGAATTCCGCGTAAACCTCGGGAAACCTTCCAAACAGCGCGTGGAATCCGCAGTGAAATGGCTAGATCGAACTGCGTCGGTCGCACGCGCCAATAAATCAGGAATCTTCTCTCGGAAGACCAATAGTTGGGATATCCAAGTTTTCACCCGGTATCTCACCATAGTAAACGCCTCGTCGTTAACAAAACGGCACAGCATTAACTCTTTCTCTTGAAACGCCTCGTTGTTAACGAAACGGCTCGGCGTTAACTCTTGCTCTTGAAACGCCTCGTCGTTAACGAAACGGCACGGCATTAACTCTTGCTCTTGAAACGCCTCGTCGTTAACGAAACGGCACGGCATTAACTCTTGCTCTTGAAACGCCTCGTCATTAACGAAACGGCTCGGCGCTAACTCTTGCTCTTGAAACGCCTCGTCGTTAACGAAACGACTCGGCGCTAACTCTTGCTCTTGAAACGCCTCGTCGTTAATGAAATGGCTCGGCGCTAACTCTTGCTCTCGAAACGCCTCATCGTTAACGAAACGGCTCGGCATTAACTTTTCTCTCGGAACGCCTCGTCGTTAACGAAACGGCTCGGCACGAACTTCCTCTCGAGACGCCTCGTCGTTAACGAAACGGCTCGGCGTTAACTCCCTCTCTTAAAACGCTTCGTCGTTAATCAAAACGGCGCTAACTCTTGCTCTTGAAACGCCTCGTCGTTAACGAAACGGCTCGGCGCTAACTCTTGCTCTCGAAACGCCTCGTCGTTAATGAAACGGCTCGGCATTAACTTTTCTCTCGGAATGCCTCGTCGTTAACGAAACGGCTCGGCACGAACTTCCTCTCGAGACGCCTCGTCATTAACGAAACGGCTCGGCGTTAACTCCCTCACTTAAAACGCCTCGTCGTTAACAAAAAAGGCTCGGTACGAACTTTCCCTCGAAACGCCTCGCCCTTCGTTCGGCTCGGCATAATCTTCTCAAATCGCCTCGGCTCATCATTACCAAGCAAAATCGCCTCGTCCTTGAACTTGCCTCGGCACCCTCGGCACTCCCTGGAAACGCCTCGGCGTCATTCCCAAAACACCTCATCTGGGATTATGTCATAACAGCTTGACTGGATGGTTTATCCTACGGTCAGGAGTAATGGACCTCGTCACTCTCGCCTCCGAAACTGACGAGCTGGGGGGCTAACTGTTGGGGTCGGTTTTCACCCCACGTAGATAAGACCATCTCAAAATGACTAAGTATGGAAGAAAGACAAGCGGGAGAGCCGTTGTCACCAAGTGGGAGAGCCGTTCTCACCAAGTGGGAGAGCCGTTCTCACCAAGACAAGTGGGAGAGCCGTTCTCACCAAGTGGGAGAGCCGTGAAGATAGACCAGTAGGGAGAGCCGTGAGGAAAAGAGAGATGGGCCGAGCCGTATCACAAGAAATGGGCCGAGCCCCTCTCCAACACGCCTGGGCCGAGCCACGCTTCGGTGAGGTGGACCAGCTCACGTCTCGACTCAAATGCAATTGTCCCTAGCCGTGGAGAAGCTTAGATGGGCTGAGCCGTGGAGAAGCTTAGATGGGCCGAGCCGCGGCAAAGGAGAATGATGGGCCGAACCGTGGCCTTGGAAGACGAAGCCCATAAAAACCTTAGGCGAAATACAAAGGCAGTGAGCCGCACGAGGCGATAAGGAAATATTCCGAAAATCTCTCCCGAGATTCTCGGCTAGGCGGTTCAGAGAGTTAGTATAAATAGATGATGTATAAAATTCATTCTGTAACTTTTTGCAACCCCGAGCAATAAGACCTACACACTTTCACAGCAATAGAAACCTTCTCTCGATCTTACTGTTCTTGCGATAAACCCTAGAAGTTTCCGATCCCTTAAGTTTTTTCTTAACAAATTTTTGGTTGTGCGAGTTTTGGCTCACACAACCGAGATTGATGATATGCTTCAGGAGCTCAATGAATCTATGGATGATGGGTATTGGGTATCTTGTGAAGTAGATGGAGAATCCTCCATCAAGTTTGTTAGAAAGAGGCCATCAAATGAAATTCCTTTGGATCATCACGTCGTGGAAGCCAGCCATCAAGAAAAAGGAGAACCTCTTTCCATCCCTAGTGACGATCTCGTCTCTACCGATTCATTCAAGTGTTTCGGAGACCACAAACAAGATAATAAGTCCCTTCCTCTTGATGAACCAAAGCCTTTTTCTCCTTCAGCTCCTCACCACCTTGAATGTAAGACAGACCACGTGGAAGATAAGACACTAATGGTGACATCAAAACCACCATTGGAGGCGCTTTCTAAAACGAAGGATTCCGAGAAGTTTGATGCCCCATTCTCAATCAAGGAAGTGAAATTTCGTGATTCTCTTTGTGAATCTGGACCTGATGTGAATCTCATACCAAAGACCATTGCAGAGAATACAGGTATTTCGATTTTTCATCCTTCTAAGATTTATATTCACCATGGAGATCTTTCTGGTGCAGCTCCACTTGGTTTCAGACCCGAATTGCCTTTCAAGGGGAAGTTTATCTTGTTTCTACTGATTTCCATGATTTGGAGGTGAGAAAGGATGGAACAAAACCCTTGATATTCGGTACTTTGTTCCTGGCATCTGTTGAAACAGTCATCAGCTACCTGAATCGATGTATGAGTTTCACGAAAATCAACAAGAAAACCTTACATCCGGCGATTCCTACAAGGAACTCTCATTGTATAATCATAGGCAGCGTGGATGATCCAATATTCGACCCTGGAGGAGCTACAAAAGATGTTGGATACGTTCTAGAGAGAAGAGCACCCAAAGAAAACACTGGATTTACAAGCTTGACGAACAAAGGTACTTCCTTATGTATACCTTTAACTAATGCTCTTATGAGAGGTGATGGAGACTTAATCGAAGCAAGAGTGAAGCTTAAATGGCTCTCAAGACTCTTTTCCAAAGACTCCCCACAAGGAAAAAGAATTGGAGACAAGAAGCAAGAGGATCTGGATACCTTTTCTCGGATATTCACCACCGCGGTCGCGTGTGCGCTACCAGCGGCCAAACCACCTTTCCCCGCGGTCGCGTGTGCGCTACCAGCGGCCAAAACCACCTTTCACCGTGGTCGCGACACTTCCACCAGCGGCCAATGCTCTTTTTACCAATTCTCCAACAGTTCAAGCCATGGCGACACCTCTACAAGCAAACTGTCCTCACCTTGGATGCTTAACCATCTCCACCACTTTAGATCATAGAGAATCATCTGTCCTTGTATCTTGCAACATGGTTCAATGTCATGAAGTGAGAGAGACCTTATTCACCTCATCATACAAGCATCTAAGACGTTCTCCTGCCACAAGTGGTGTTGAAGACTCATACCTCAAAGAAGTTCCAAGACTGATTTTTTATCCTGGAGGAGGCTACCATCCCGAACCTGCTAAGCAAAGAAAGGAGATGTCGAAAAAGACTTATCTCAGGAAAAGGTCTTCTTCATCAGACTAAGCAACGTCCAACACCAAAAGTCGAGCTAAACGACTTAAAACAGAAGCGCTTAATGGGAGGCAACCCATTAAGGTATTGCTTTCTTTAGAATTTTTCTTTCTTTCTCTTTTGATCTTTTTCTTTTTCTTAGTTTCAGGTGTTTCTTATAAAACAAAAGGCCAAAATAATCAAAAAACCAAAAAAAAAAAAAAAAACCAAAAAGAAGGATGGTACCTGACTGCTCGGCCCAGCAGGAACCATGGAGAACCAGGAAGAGGCCGCGAAATAAGCCCCCGCGGTCGCAGGTGTTCGGACTGCGGGAAACACATGTTCGACCGCGGTCGCGTGATCCTGACCGCGGCCAAGTACTTGTTTGCCGCGGTCGTATGGCCCCTGACCGCAGCATTTGGTCGTTGACATCAAATCCGACCCCAAACCACCCCTTTCACCTCATTCCACCTCACCAATCACCCTCCACCCCATTCATCACCTTCCACCACCTTCATCACCACCTAATCACCTTCCCAAACCCCTTCGAATGAATCCGGTTCATCTCCACCAGCATCCCGGATCCAGGTAAGTTCTCTTTGTCCTTACCAATTCGATTATTTATGCATTTTTCTCATCCAATCTCGACTTGTTTCACACTGAGGACAGTGTGATTTAAGTCTGGGGGAGGAATTCATCCCTTTCTAACCACCTTTCTTTCATGAGTCTTGCATTATCTACACTTTTTGCATTTTCCTTAAAGTTTTTCAAAATCGGTTTTCAAAACAAAATACGTTTTAAAGGGAATGGTGAACATGAATCAATGATAGTTGACTGTGTGCTTTTAAACTGTTCCTAGTGACTTGCTCATTCATGATTTAGGACTAGACTAGGCGGTAGCTAAGCACATTTGAAACGAAGTACCCCAGAGAAATTTGAATGATTTCGATTTAGATGAAGGGATACACTAGCTCTGTTTTATTTGGACTTAATTTGGACTTAATTTTCTCATTGAAGCATTAGACCAGGGAAACGAATCATATATTCAGGACTCCTTTATCCTTTTACCACTCTCTGTTGATCCTGAATGGCTAGTTCATCTTTAGCTAGTTCCCCACCTTAACCAATCCTCTTTCAAACCACATGCACTCTTGTTTTCTATTGTCTTATATGCAGATAAGTGCAAAAACGTTGGAGAGAAAGAGGAACAACGCAGTTTTCAGTCACTAAGGACAAAGACCTGCGATTTGCCGGAAAAGTTCCCGGAAGGATTCAACACAAGAGGAAGCTCAGTTTGCCTTAGAAAAATCTCAAATTTTGGTACAATCTCGTCCTCTAGTCTCTCTCTTTTTAAAA